TATTTTTATATGTTTTTAAAAAAAAAAAAAAAAAAAAAAAGAGATCTCTTAGTGAAGGTCTGCTTCCCATTGTTTTTAAACAAATGAAAAAATTGTATAAAAGAAGAACCCATCAAAGAAAAAAGCCTGAGGCAAAGTACAGTGTCTTTTTGTTGTTGTTGTTTTCCTTTCTTTGGGTGATGCTACAGGTCCCTATCCTGCTCCCTGTAGCAATGAGTGTCTCACTGAGAGCAGTGTGCTTGTTCAGAGTGTTGGAGTAAACCTGGTCTTGTTTGAAGCAGTATGAAATAACTAGTGACTACAGTGGAAGAAGGATGGAACCTGTCATTAACACTTGGCTGTAATTCTGCAAGGGCATCTGTTTGGCCTAAAAAATTCACAGTTGTGAATTAGGGCTGATAACTGCTATTCCCTTTACTGGTCTTTAGTAAGTTCTCATCAGCATAAAACCTAGACTACCAAGTGCATAAAATATGCTTGTCTGTACTTTACATTTTCCCCAGCCAGTATTTGAATGCTAGAAATGTTAAAGAAAGCTTTTAAGGGTGATAAATAATTATTTTGCCAATATACTTGACTCACTATGTTCAGATGTGGAAGAAGAGTGCTATAATTTTTAAAGCACAGAAGCAGTTCTGTAATAGACATTATTTTGTATTATTTTCTCTGTAGGTTTACCTGCCTCAAAGCTAAAAATATGCACTGGAAAACAATAAACCATGTATTTGGATTAAGCACTGACATTTGCCTGCAGTGGGGCAAACCCGCCTCATAGCCATATATATATATTTGTAAACAATGCAACATACTCATTTGGATTAAAAGGCAACATCCACCCATGAGGAAAGGCAAGATAATTGCAACTTTGTATGATATTCAAACTGTGCACTAGGAATCTTGCTTTCAGTAAATGCTCAGATAGGTAACATGAAAGAAGGCTGCTATTTGGGGGGGAAAGAGACAGAATAATTCCTTTACTTCCTTTGTTAGAGTTTACAGACCAATAAAAGGATATTTAATTAGTTCCTGATTATTTGGTCTAGCAAAGTGCTTAAGGATTTCAGCATGCTCACTGAAACCATCACAGGGTGGAAATGAAGTTTGTCTCACCATGTTGCTGTCACTTTACAGTCCCTGTGCAGTCCCACTGCCTTTTTGGCCATTACTCCTCCCAGCATTTAGCTGTTTCCTTAGTGATCAGTTCACTTCTAAGAAGAGAGGAATCTTTTTCGCAATTAGGACATGAATGAGCCTGTAAGAGCACCTGGCAGTTCATGAGGGTGTTGATCTCCTGCCTCTGGAGCAGCTCAGATGCTGCTGTGGCTTCAGATAAAAAAACCTCACATACTCCAAGGTCAGCTTCAGAAGCGTGATGCTTCCTCTAACTGCATCTTCAGAGCTTGCTGCTTCTTGGTTGATTTTTGGCAGCAGATGTTACAATACTGTTTAAAAG